TGGTCCAATTTGTCTAAGTTGTCTTCACAACTGCATCAATCAGCAGCCACCTAACTACATGTATACAGACATTACAAGTTACACACTTGTCTCTAATAACACCATATAGTTGTAGGTAAAATGCAGAATTCAGATTTTTCTCACCTCGCCCACATGAATCCAATCACCTGGTGTCCCTGTCATCACAAGTCTCATCGCATCAGTACTGAACACCTGCACAGGTTGCTGACCCTCAGAGCACAGCTGACTACAGGATTCTATAAAAAGAAGAAATAGTTATGTTATCAACTTGTCATACATTGCAGAAACTTCCATAATAACACTGAAAAAATCTTACAAACTAAAGATTTAGACTTAGTGTTATCTTAGATTATCTAATACATTACGTATCTTCACCAATGCTTACTCTCAACACTAGCAACCTAAAATTTATTCACTCTAAAACAAACAAATACTGCCAAAAACTGTACCTAATGACCATAAAGAAATGGGGATAGCAACAACAATAAAATATGAAGAAAACCACTTCAACTAAAAATTTATGTGGAATACTAGTAACGTTAACATTACATATAAACTCGACGCAAAATGTTTTGAAAACAGCAATTGCGACCTTCTAGCGTAGTGAATTAGTGTTTGTGACACAGATACTTGGGCCTAATGGTTCATTACAATTACTGAATTACTCTAAAATTACTCTTGAACTTCCAACACTATTTCTGCAGACAAAGGACAGATGTGATTCAGTTATTCAAAATTACACATGGGTATGACAACCTTAGAGTTGGGAACAGCTGCAGCTGCAGCATATGATAAGCGCCTATTGCTGTTCACCTTTCTTTCCGCTTGTTCAATTGATTTCAATAGATGCTATAGATAAATCCAACTACATTCTCAGGGGAGATAACCAATACAGTGTTCAAATAGGAAAATACATTAAAGAATGTTTCGATCTTAGAGACCACATGTTAGAGAATAGTTAACCTTTATTGTTACATCATACATATACTCTGTACGTAAGATGACGATATCCACACATGTATTTAGCTTTGTTAGATCTTTAGTTAAGTTGTAGAAGACCATACAAGAACGTGGCTATATACACTCCCGGAGTGTATATAAAATCTATTTGTCTTTTATATACACTCCCGGAGTGTATATAAAATCTATTTGTCTTTTATATACACTCCGGGAGTGTATATAAAATCTATTTGTCTTTTATATACACTCCCGGTGTGTATATAAAAGTCTA